GGAGCTATGGCTCAAGTGGTAGAGTGCTAGCCTTGAGCTGAAGAGCTGAGGGACAGCACCCAGGCCCAGAGTTCAGGCCCCATCACCAACAAAAAAAAAAAAAAAGGCTAGGTGTGGGCCTCAAGTAGTAGAATGCTTGCCTAGCTAGTATAAGGCCCTGAGTTCAAACCCCAGTGCATGCATATATTTATTTATATACATATATATGTGTGCATATATGTATATATACAGCAAATATCTATAAACTCCACAACATATCTATAAACCTGAGGATGCTCTGACATTAGTTTTTTCATGGAGCATGTTTTCTGATTATTTGTAGTACTAAGGAAGTAGGACATAGTCTAGTGGATGTTCTAAGGGGACAGATTTTTGATTCATTTCAAGACAACAGAATTTTGAACAAAGATTTTCCAAAGATAAGACTAAAAAAGCCTGGGTGTGTTCCTACAGAAAAGGCATAGTAGGCCTGTGTGGCTTAAACCCTAAAATTATATATAATGACCCACTGAAAAGGTTTTTAAGAGGTGGTTTGAAAGAGTGGCTATATTTGACAAAGTACATTATATGTATGATGAAAATGCCATGAACCCCATTGAACAATTAATTTACACTATTAAGTTTGAACCCTGTCCTTTGATCATGTTTAGACAGAAATATAATCAGGAGTAAGATGCAACCCATGGTATCATTTTTACATAAAACAAACTTACATGTTTCTTTCAGATAACAGATAGCACATTAATCCAGCTTTCTATACACTGTCCTCGACTTCAAGTATTGGTAAGTTTGGCCTTCAAAAAGTTTATCGCATTTAATCAAAAAGTACTAAGCAAAGCATGGGTGGTACATGCCTATGAATTCAGTATTTATTCAAGAGGCTGATTCAGAAAGATTAAAGACAAGCCTGGCTATATATACAGCAAGCAATTTCAAAAAAAAAACAAAACTAAACAAAAATTCCAGAGCAGTTGATATTTTGCAGTGGGATTTTTCTTTCTACTACTTTCAGTGATTCCTTAGGAAAACATTTTAGATAGCTATTCTGTATCCAGGACAGAATACAGAACAGTTGTGGTATGTTTGGTGGTGCAATGTTATCTAAAATTGGGTCAAGGGATCTGAGTTTCCCAGAACCAGAGACTTAAGGATAATTGATGAGGAAATTAAGTGTGAGATGACCACACTGACAGCTATAAAATTTTCCTCAGCTAATTAGCATCTGCTGTTGGTTCTGCCCTTGCATCAGGTATTCAGTATTTAGTTCAAATTCCAGAGAATTTTGTGTATGAAAAGGCTTGACCCTACTTGTCCTTGAAAAGTGTTAGTGTTAATTTGAGAAGGGGGTAGTATTTAGGGCTGTCTTACTTTATGAAGTAATCCAAAGTCACTATATGATTTCAGGAAACATATTTAGAATTATGCAAAACCAAATCAATAATTAATGTCAACTCTAGTTGGCTTTCTTTCTTTCTTCTTCTTCTTCTTCCTCCTCCTCCTCCTCCTCTTCCTCCTCTTCCTCCTCCTCCTCCTCCTGTTGTTGTTGTTGGGCTTGAACTCAGGGCCTGGGTGCTATCCCTGATCTTTTGCCCTCAAGGCTAGCACTCAACTACTTTCACAGCACCACTTCCTGTTTTCTGGTGGTTAATTGGAGAAAAGAGTCTCACAGATTTTCCTGCTTGGGCTGGCTTCAAACCACAATGCTCAGAGATTACAGGCATGAACCCAACTGTTCTACTTTACATTCTTTTTTTTTTGTTGCTTGTGGGGCTTGAACTCTGGGACTGAGCACTATCCCTCAGCTCTTCAGCTCGAGGCTAGCATTCTACCACTTGAGCCACAGCACCACTTCCAGTTTTCCCATGGTTTAGTGGAGATAAGAGTTTAACGGACTTTCCTGCCCGGGCTGGCTTTGAACCATGATCCTCAGATCTCAGCCTCCTGAGTAGCTAGAATTACAGGTGTGAGCCACTGGCACCCGGCTTTAGTTTACATTCTTTATTTTATTTTATTTTATTTTATTGTCGGTCATGGAGCTTGAACTCTGGGCCTGGGCACTGTCCCTGAACTCTTCAGCTCAAGGCTAGTACTCTACCACTTAAGCCACAGTGCCACTTCCGGTTTTCTGAGTGTTTTATTGGAGATAAGAGTTTCACAGACTTTACTGCCAGGGCTGGCTTTGAACTGTGATCCTCAGATCTCAGCCTCCTAAGTAGCTAGGATTACAGAGATGAGCCACTGGCGCCCAGCTACATTTTTTATTTCATCATAAGTGGATCTAGTGATGTTTCCATGTTCACCAAAATCAAACCATGAAGGTCATCTTTCCGTTTTTATACAAGTCTCTGGCTAGAGGAATACCAGAAGATATTTTATCATCCTTTGCTCTATTTGGCTGCAGAGTCTATCTCACTGTGAGCTGATCACAGACGATGGAATTCGTCACCTGGGGAATGGGGCCTGTGCCCATGACCAACTGGAAGTGATTGAGCTGGACAACTGCCCACTAATCACAGATGCATCCCTGGAGCACTTGAAGAGCTGTCACAGCCTCGAGCGGATAGAACTCTATGACTGCCAGCAAATCACACGGGCTGGTATCAAGAGACTCAGGGTAAAGTGCTGTGTCACTCTCCAGCTTTGGTATTCTCAGTCCCCATTGTTCTCTTTTCTTTCTCCTCATTGAGATTCCTGTGATTTTTTTTTTTAACTTAAGACATTTAGCAAGGGGAAATACTGGAGAGCAAACAAACATAAGTTAATTAGTCTTGGTTCCAGGTAGAAACTAGTGGGAAAATACTGAAGAGAAGAAAAGTATATCTTCTCCTAGCAGAGTTTGTCTAGCAATACCTGAATTATTTTTTTAATTTAAAAAGGAATCATGTCAATTTTTGCATTTTGGCCCCATCTTCCATGGAAAAGGAGTAACAGTTCAGATTCCCAGCAGAGAAATCATAAAAAGCTGGATGGATCTGTTTGTTGTTAGATTTTTCACCTCTAAAAGAAATCCATGTTCATCATATGGCCTTGAGCAAATAAATATTGAAGCACCAAACCTCTTCTTGAGTTACAGTTGACTTTAGTTCCTCCTCTTTTTTTCAGATAGAGAGGGCTGTAAGTATACATCTAGTAGAGCCCTTGCATCAAAAGAGCAGGAAAGAGACAGGCTAACTAGACCTTTTTATATGGCCTACTATGCTAAGGCTTCTGAACCTGCCTGCCTGTCAGGAATCACTTCTATCCCTTCATGAGATGGATTTGTTGTTCTTCAAGTCACTTAGAACTTTTCAACTTTAATTTTCATGTCTAGACTATAAGTTGTTTAAGTAGCTTGACCATATTTATACCCAACTCACTTGTTAAGAAAATAGCAGAGTGCCTTGAACACAGATATTTAGCAATAGTAGTACAGACTATGGAAGCTTGTTGTAAAACAGTGATGCTGAGTTTTTTTTAAACTATGAGAAACGGAATTATTTCAAACTTTCATGATTTCTTCTAACTATGGGAATCCAATTGAACATACCTATAGGACAAAATAAGAAATTAACATATTATTTTTATTTTTTATTATGTAAAAAAGGTACCAAAGTGTACAAGTAGAAATCTAGGCCTCTAAACATCCCGACTACTGCTCAGCCTCTACCCTGCTTCATGTCCATTCAGCCCCTTAGCAGTTTTTCTGAGAAACATTACTCTTTCTGTTTAAGCCCTCTCTCTTAGTAATATTTTTGTCTTGTTTCAGACCCATTTACCCAATATTAAAGTCCACGCCTACTTCGCACCTGTCACTCCACCCCCATCAGTAGGGGGCAGCAGACAGCGCTTCTGCAGATGCTGCATCATCCTATGACAATGGAGGTGGTCAACCTTGGTAAACTGAGTATTAAATGACACTTCTAGCGTTACCGTGGAGTCTCTCCAGTGGAAGCGGTCCCAGCATTCTGGGCAAGGGTTACAAAGCAAGGGAGTGTCCAGATCCCCAGAGCCACACATACTAAGCATACACACCCTCACCCCCATCCACTATAGTTCCGTGAACATGGAGTTGAAGTTGAAGTTGAACATGAAGTTCAAGCTGACTTTATCAAATGAATTGGTAAAACAGCATTCCTGTTGGATGTGTCCAGAAGAAAATCATAGGCCAGGTGGAGGGGAGGGGGCATTCCAGCAAACCCAGTGTTATTGTTACTGTGGTTTATTTTGTTAAGGGGTTTTCTGGGGGCAGTCCTCCAGGGTCAAGAAGAGCATGGAAAAACAACATATGATATATCCAGGGACCAGAAAGAAAATTTCTTTGCATTGTAGAAATGGTAGCCATCCATTGTAAGATGACTACAGAGCTTCTGTGCTTCCTTGTTTCCATGCCAACATGCTGAGCATGCTCACAAAGAAGGCTCATCCATTCCTTGGGTGGTAGTATTTGGCCCAGAAGTTTCCTAAATGACTGCATTGAAATTGCTGTGGTCCAAATGTGATTACTTACTCAAGTTATCACTGTCTGCATCACATTTGTGCACCTGTCTTCCATTCTCCATTGTGCCCTTCTCCACTTTGCTCAGCTTGTCACTTGTTCAGTCTACCTACTCACACTCATCTGTTACTCTTTGCTGTTGTGTTTACAGTTTGCATTTTGGATGATTAGTTGGGGTTATCAAACACTTTTAAGAAAAACATCAATAAATATTTTTTTAATTCTATATTTTACGATTAGGGGACTGACCCTGCCTGAATCTTTGCCAATTTGAAAGAAAACAAAAGCAAGAAAGTTAAGAGAAAAAATAGAGTTAAAACTATTTTGATGAAAACAGAATTTGCCTTTTGGTTTCTATTATATCTTTTGATCTAAAATAATTTGCATGATGTGCCCAGTATTCCCCCTGCACATTTTCCCTGTGTCAACCCACTTACCTATTAAGAAAAGAGAGAAATGTTTTGTCATTATTAAATAGTAGGTGGCATATCCCAAAACTGAGCCTGGAAGTCCTTACTACCCAAGCTCGGACATTAATGATTAACATCACCGTGTGTTCACAGAAACCTAGACCTCTGTCACTGAGATTATTGACTTCAGTAGAAGTCTGTGCTGTCTAGCCAGTTGGTTTCTCTTTCTTTCCCCTGTTACAGCTTATCAAGGGATACAAGAATGCCATTTAATAGCTGGCTATCTGTATGTCAGTGTTAACAGTATCATACTATTGTTGGCACGTCAAAGGACATGAGCTGTCAACTGTATCTCTCTTCTTCTCCAGACTTCCTGTGAATGGAATATAAAAGCAGCCAGTTGAAGGCATTGGTGCAACTTTAAAAGTCTTGAGAGGAAGTAGAAGGTTAGGTGGCTCTGCCTAGCCTTGAAACTGGGCAGCAGAGCTAAGGGTAGGAGTTTAGTGTTCCTGTCTCAGCACCAAGAAGCTCACCTTCCAAAAAGAAATCATAAAGATGAGGGAAATAGAGTTTCTAAAGCATAAGATTTTAAACCCCAAGGTTAGAAAACTGGTGTGACTTTTTTTTTTTGCAATAGGGTGATTGGGGAAGAGGATCTTTTAGGCTATTAATGTGCAGTCTACCATGGTCTAAGATCTTGATCTCTTCCACATTATCCAGATTGTAAAAAGTCTTGTTTTAATGCTGCAGGTCTTGGTTCTGCCAACATATGTAAAAATAAAATCTGATTTATTTCTCCATTGGTGTGTAGAGAGCAATCAGATAAAAAGTCTGTACTACCCATCATTATTTGTCATATTAAATTATTTTAAATCCAATTTATTATTCCATATTAAAAGTTCAGATTAAGGTCTGAGGATGTGTGTGAAATGGTAGAGCACTTTCCTATCAAGCATGAAGTTCTTAAGTTCAACCATAGTACTGCTTCCCACTCCCCAAAACAAAGAAAAAACATTGGTCTTTTCCCTTCTTTCTCTCTAATTCCATTTTCACAGTACTTTATAGGGATTATTCTTTTATTCTTTTTGGGTTTTGAGACAAATTTTTTTTAGCCACTTTTGGGGACTTGAACTTTGGACCTAAGCTCTTTCCCTGAGCTTCTTTTGCTCAATTCTAGTGCTCTATCACTTGAGCCACATCTCTACTTCTAGCATTTTGCTGATTAATTGGAGATACGAGTCTCACAGACTTTCCTGCTCAGTCTGGCTTTGAACCACTAGCCTCAGATCTCAGGCTCCTGAGTAGCTAGGATTGCAAGTGTGAGCCACTGGTGCCAGGCTCAAGTGGTTGTCCTGCCTCAGTATTTGAGTAGCTGAGACTACTGTAAGCCTACACCACTGTACCTAGCAAGAATAGACCATTAATGTGAGACTTATTCTCCTGGCTATACCTCATACATAGAAACACACATGCACACACATATGTACTTCCAGATGTGGTTGATAGTATTTAGATCCCCAAGTCACTCATTCAAACAAAACTGAAGAAGAAATATTTAGGGGCCATCTGCTCTAAAGTATGTTGTTTTTTTGTTTGTTTTTTAAGTGCCTGAACAAATTGACAATAAAACTTAGATTGATTAGTGGATATGGATTCAGATTGCCAGAGTTGAGGCTATTAAGGTAGCCCTTTACTTGAAAGAAAAGTTTGAAAAGCCCTGCTTGTTCACTGGCACATTGAAAGTATGGAAAATATTGTTTCTGTAGTCAGAGAATATACTCATCTGCAGGTCCATCATACTTGCCCTGCTCTTCTCTGCTGTTAAGACAGATTCTGGGACCAAGAACAAAAGTCAAGTGAAAGAGCACAAAGTTCCAGAAGTGTACAGCACTGGCTTTATGTAAAGCTGAAGCATCATGATTGGAAGAAAATAGAGCTTTGTGCTAAGTTGCAACTTAATACTACCTGATGAATATGTTAGGACTACATGGTAAGTTAGTTTTGGCCAAGTGGAAAGGATCTTGACATCTGTATTACTTTTGAGAAATCTGGTCAGGAAGAGTTCTCCTTACAAAAAGCTTAGTGGCATATTTGCCTGATTTCATAGCCACTTTAAAATATACCTTTTACATGAAAAAAATAGAGTGAGCAGAAAAGATGTTGCCATAAACCCAGATTCCTAGGAGGAACTTCTGCATTATCTCTGGAGAAAGTTTGTGGACATACAGATAGGTCACCAGCCCCACTGTGAGGTGATTCTACTCCCTTTTTTTTGCACTGTTTATACCATTTTCCTCCCATACTTACCCTTACCCTCTATTTTAAAGCTTCCATCTTACCCTAATAATGTTGTTGGTTTATTCTCATATGTCTCCAGTTTAGCTTCTTTGAGTCATTGTCCTTATCCAGGTAAAGGAAATTATCATTTGGGGCAGTCTTGAATTCAGTAACTGTCAAGTAGCTTGGTCTTTAATGTTGGCTTACTGGAACTGAATTGAAATTGAAATCTAAACTGTTGGATAAGAGGAATAAAGGGATCTGACTTTAGCCTTTTTTTCCAATATTTGGAAAAGCACAATGTGCTTTATGTATACAAAACAAAAAGGATTTTCCTCAGACTCTGCTCTTTTTTGCTGGATGCAAAATATTCCTTAACTGTTTTTATTTCAATTTCTATTCTGATCTCTACATCCATTAGAAGATTTAGCAGATATGTAAGAAATTTGAAAAACAGGCGCTGATGGTTCACACTTGTAATCATAGCTACTTAGGATGCTGAGATCTGAGGATTGCTGTTCAAAGCCAACCCACACAGGAAATTCCATGAGACTCTTATCTCCAATTAGCCACCAGAAAACTAGAAGTGGCACCATGGCTCAAAGTGGTAGAGTGCTGTCCTTGAACACAAAGGGCTCAGACAACACCCAATCCCTAAGGTCAAGCCCCATAGCCAAGCAAAAAGAAAATTTGACATATTTCAGAGAGAAACTGGGTAAATCATATCATGATGCTTTATTTTGGGCTTTCCAGACTAATTGAACTTTTTTTTTTTTTTTTTTGCCAGTCCTTGGTATTAAACTCAGGGCCACGCACTGTCCCTGAACTTTTTTTTGCTCAAGGCTAGCTAGCACTCTACCACATGAGCCACAGAGCCACTTCCGGCTTTTTCTGTGGTACTGAGGAATTGAACCCAGGGTTTCATGCATGCTAGGCAAGCACTCTACCACTAAGCCACATTCCCAGCCCCTAATTGACCTTTTTTTAAAATAGCGTTCAGTCTTATTCTTTCTTCTAATTTCCTAGTAAAGTGTGTTATTAATGGTTTAATAGTCTTCTGATGCCATGGGATGAGGGAGCAAGTTCTGTGATGGAACTATCTTGACTTGAAATTGTTAGAAATGTCGCTGGAGAGTCGAGGGTAGATGCCCTCCTGTCTCTAAGGGCAGTACATCTGTAGGTGACAGTGTGTTGGGAGGAGTACTGCAGGTCATCAGTGGCCCATCGCCATGCGATGTTTATTGCACTGCAAGCCTTCTCATATCCATTGCTATCAGGAACAGGAAGGGTTTAAAGGAACATTCTCTCCTGCCTTTTTTCTCCTTGTGTGCATGATTCAAGAATCACTATCTATCCGTACAGCACCTTCTGACTGACAAACTACAGTTAGGTATTGTAAAGAAATTTAAGGGCCTGGCACCAGTGGCTCACGCCTGTAATTCTAACTCATCAGGAGGCCAAGATCTCAGGATCACAGTTCAAAGCCAGCCCGGGCAGAAAACTGTGTGTGTGTGTGTGTGTGTGTTGTGTGTGTGTGTGTGTGTGTTGTGTGTGTGTTGTGTGTGTTGTGTGTGTGTGTGTGTTGTGTGTGTGTGTACGCACGCTTGCGTGCATGCACTTCTGTTCTGCCGCTTGAACTCAGAACCTGAGCACTGTCCCTAAGCTTTTTTGATCAAGGTTACCATTTGAGCTACAAGTCCGCTTCCTCCCTTTTTTGGTGGTTCTTTGGAGTCTCACATACTAAAAAAAATCTCCAACTAACCATCAGAAAACTGAAAATGGTAGTGATAGCCTTGAGCTGAAGAGCTGAGGGACAGCACCCAGGCCCAGAATTCAAGCCCCACGACTGATCAAAAAAAAGAAGAAGAAACGTAGGAGGCTGGGAAGGTGGCTTCAGTGGTAGAGTGCTTGCCTAGCAAGCATGAAGCTGGGTTGCCATTCCTCAGTGCCACATAAACAGAAAAAAGCTGGAAGTGGCACTATGGCTCAAATGGTAGAGTACTAGCCTTGAGCAAAAAGAAACTCAGGGACAGTACCCAGTCTGAGTTCAAGAGACTGGCAAAAATAATAAATAAATAAAAAGTGCAGGATGTTTGGTGGTCCTGAGATGGAATCCCTACCCCCTCACAGTGATATTAGATCGAAGCATTCTACACAGTAGGACAAGGGAAAGTAAGGAATCTTTTTCCTCTTTATTTCCATCATAAATTTTCATTGGAAGATCATAAGAAGCTGGGTACTGATAATTCACATAATCCTAGCTACTTGTATCTGGAGATTCAGAATTTCATGGTTTGAAATCACATAGTTTAGAAGTCTTTGAGATTCCAAAGTAGCCAAAAGTCAGGATGTAGGCATGGTTCAACTGGTAGCGTATCAGCCAGGTGAGTAAGCATGCTGAACAAGTGTGATCCCCGGAGTTCAAACCCAGTAACCCAAGTATTTTGAGGTAATATTTGGCTGTTCATTGCGATATCCGAGTGCCCTAACAAGATCTTCCTTTTCCAGCAAAGCATATAGGCTACTTGAGCCCCAGATGTTCTAATACTGCCTTCTTTCTTTCTGCCAGAAAATACCGTATGAGGCAAGTAAGTTTCTTGTATGAAGGGCTTCTACAGCTTCTCACTCAAGCTAAGTTTCTCTTTTCTGTTCTGTCTACTTTTATTCTTAGGAACATCTGTTCTGCACCTCTGAAGACTGAATTCCAGAAGGAATTCAGTTAATAACCACTCAGTTAATTCTGAATGAATCTTGGAAGCCCAAGAAAATTACATTTAATTTTCATGAGAAATTACTTTTGTTGTACAAGGTCCCATGTGTGATAGTAGAGAACATGTATGTACACCTCTCCCATCTCTGCCTCACATATTTTCTGACTGAGACTTGTGGAGTTTGCAAATGTTGCCTCTCACTGTTCCCCAGACAGAGATTTATTGCCCTTTTAGGAAGAACTGTGAACAAGCAAAATCCTTTTCTCTGTCCCAGAAGTCATTAACTTTGTGTGTGTGTGTGTGTGCACGCGCGTGCGTGTGTGTGTGTG